TAAGTGAATTAAATGAAATGCAGCTTTTCCACAAATATTTGAATTACAATCTCAGTATAGTACACCCTTTTGTTTATTTTACATGATGAGTTTTTCAATCTCAGCTGTCAAAAAACTGTCAAAAATTGTTTTGGCTTGGATATTCCTTAGCATTTCTGAACATAACAAAACCATCAGAAAGATGTCCATTATTTCAGCTGGACATGGGGTTTACCGTCAATGAGTCATCGGCACTAAGCCTGTAAGGACTACTCTGGGGGATTAATTAAAGAACTGTTGCTGGGGTTGTTGTTGTTGTTGTTTTTTTTTTGGGGGGGGGGGTACAGAAGGTTGATAGAAAGGTATTTGTACTCCTTATGGATGTGCATATACGCTGAGGGGCCACTTTGTTCAACTATTCATTAGCATAAATGTGTAATCATCCAATCACTTTCCAGCAACGCAACGTGGCATCCTCTAAACAATCTGCTGAAGTTCAAAGTGAGCATCTGAATGGGAAAGAAATGTCATTTAAGTGACTTTGAATATGGCGCGGCTGTTGTTCTCTAGGTGGTTTGATCTGAGTATTTCAAAATAACTGCTGATCTGCTGGGATTTTCCCACACAACCATCTCCAGGGTTTATAGAGAATGGTCTGAAAAAGAGAAAATATCCTCTGAGCAACTGGTCTCTGGGTGAAAATGCGTTATTGGTGCCAGAGATCAGAGGAGAGTGGCCAGATAGGAAGGCAACAGTAACTTAAACAACCCTCATTAAAACCAGTCCATGCAGAAGCATCTCTAAAACCACAATACATCAAGCCTTGAAACACATGGGCTACAGCAGCAGAAGACCACATCTGATGCCACTCTTGTCAGCTAAGAAAAAGGAAACTGAGACTATGATTTGCACAGTTGCAGTAAAATTGAACAATGGAAGGTTGCAAAAATGTTGTCTGGTCTGATGAATCTCAATTATCTCAAACTGGTTTGAGATAATTGATAATTAAACTCGATCCAGTAGAGCGACTTTGAGATTTGATGAAACAGGAGATTCACATCATGGATATGCAGCCAAAACTCAGCACCGGCTATGTTATGCCACGTGTTAATATGGACCAAAATCTCTGAGGAATAGTTGTATTATGAGACAAAACAGTATTTCTTCACATGACAAAAATATATTTTTACTACTATAGCGATTTCTGTTCTAAGACTTAACTGTAACAACTTATTATTTGCAGGTGATAAACTATTTGACCATATTTTTTGTTATGACAGAGATGTGCCATATATTTCATTATGATGTATATTTTTGTTCCTGTTTTTTTAATTGTTGATTGTCGATTGGCTGATTAGACTCCTCAGCGGGTTGTTTACTACTAGCAGGGTCCTGGTGTTGATTTGTTGGGGGTCACACCCACAAATGTCTCAGACATGCATCTGTTTCTGCTGCTATGCAACAATAAATTTCCTATACACAATGTAATTATGTTCTGCTGCTGATTTGGTGATAAATGTGCTATTGTAAAGAACTGCTGTACAGAGTAGGTTTAGGGGCTCTAGAAATGCGTATTTTGTTAACCTGAATATTAATATATTTTTTTCTCACATTTGCATTTTAACGATTTAATATCAAGATAAACTTTTCCACACACATTGTCCACTCTGTGTTTTGAGCACTGGCGCTTGATTTGCAGTGCTAAATTAAGTTGGACATGTTGTCAGTTGAATTTGGAAAATAACCTTCTCGTGCAAACTCTCCCCACACACACACACACACACACACACACGTATACATCATTCTGAACGAAACAGGCAAAAGATCAAACCATCAAACAATAAGCAATAACTGACAGCGGAAATATGAAACAACTGTTGTTTCGATCTGCAATTCATAAGAAATTGAGATAACTGTCTTAGCAACGTCGTAAATTGTTTAATCATTGCACTTTAAGACTTTTTTTCTTTTTCTTTTTTTTAAAAGAGGAACTATCCTCATTTTTTTTTCCAAACAACAAAACCACAAACTTCAAAAAAAGAAATAATTACTCAATCTTAGCTGCTGGTCCTCCCACCTCCACCCTCCCAGTTCCCCCCAGAGGGAAGCAAGTGCGTCAATGGAGGGTTGGAAAAGAAGAGAAGTAAAGCCTTTTGACTTTCAGGAAGGAAACACATCTGGGGAATAAGGAAAGAGAGAACGGGTGAAAAGAGGAATTAGCATGGAGGAAGAGCAGCTGGCCAAAAATAGTCAGCCTCTGTTTGAGCCTTGCTTTGCCAGAGCCCCTACCACACCTCCTGCCACTTAAGCATTAGTCAGCCCTGAACGAGCCTTCGGTGGGTGACTAACTTCTCCACTGAACCCCCCTCAAGTCATGGACTGCACTTCCTCCCAGGTGTCTTAATCCAGCCCAGGGTTGCTCAACTTGAGACCCCCGGTCCTGTCTTTTTTGTCCTATCTTCATCTTCCTTTGAAGTAAAAACACAAGTGCTCTTATAGGACTCAACTGAAGGGTGTGTGGGACTGGAGATACAGATCACTGTGGGCGGCCGGGGAATAAGGTAAACAGTGATGTAAACCAGTGACATGATGCTTTACAAAATACATAAACAAAACAAAACCATGAAAAACTGAGATAACAGGAGTTAATATGATTGAGATTTAAGTTATTTTAAGAGAAGCCAGGGGAAGGGAATGAGTAAACATGTGCATTCCTATGGGCAGAAACCCATCTTTAAAAACAGGAACTCTGGTCAAGCAAATATGGTAAAGCCAGATGTAAGGCGGTGTTGTGACCAGACTGGTTTTGGATGGGAAGGACCGGATGTTTGACAGACATTTCATCTCGTCGCAGGTGTTCAAGTAGCACGGTGGACTTATTACACAGTAACTCACTAGGTTTGCCAAAGCAAACAGGAAGCAGTGGCAGAGTTTCACTGTGATTGGTCACTTAAGTTTGATTTGTGACGATGACTAAGAATGCAGGAAGGAGACGGAAAGGGACTGGGTGAATTTCAGAGTACCAAGGAGAGGGTGTACGTGAGTGACAGCATGGTAATGATACCAGAAGGAGACTTCACCTGCTTATGAACGACTAGAAACAACCATGACATTCCCACTCTTTAGCAAAACAAAAACAGAGGAATACCTGTACACGCTCCCAAAGGCTGGATCAAAAGTCAACAGGCTATATATAAAGAATTGAGCTACCATTATCCTGCTATTTTAAAATATGTGTGTTCCTTACTTAGAAAGCATGTCTTATTGGATACATTTTGTATTAGAGCAGTCATGCAGCGTGGATTGTAGGCTGTGGCGTTGCCAGTTGGGCAACAAGCTGTTCTCTATGGCTATTTGTCAACTAGAGCCATCCAGTGGTGCTTTGAGGTAATCTGAATAGTACAAAAAAAAAAAATCAGCGGGGCTTTCAGCAGAGACGCTGGACAGCCACTGCTGGAATTTTTTTAATGAAATGCAGCAGCTAACAATGAATAAATAAGCTGTTGCTAGTAAAATATGCCAACATATTGCTAATTAGTGCACCAGATAACTTCCCATTACAGGTAAACTTGTTTACAAGTGGATACAAGTACTACAGTTTCAGCATTACATCCTAAGACAAAGTCAACAACACTTGGCCTTGTCTGACCCTGTAAAAGTTGACTTTAGACATCTGAAATTAACCAGGAGCTTCTTTGTACAATAATAGTAGTAGTACATTTATGTGGTTGCCAATGTGGATGGACCCACATGTTTGATTTGGCACATAGGATGCCCCCTCCCCCTCCCGTTTATCTGGGCTCAGGCCCAGCACTAGGAGTATATTAGCTTTTCTTGAATTGGGATCTTTCATATGTAAGACCAATGTGTTAACAACAATAGAAGTAGTAGGAGATGTAGTGCTTTTGCATCAGTCTCAGTCCTTGGATGGAGTACTGCCACCCATCCGCACTTCTCAACATACTCTTTGCCTTGGCTTTTAGAAGCTCCTTGCCAACAGCAGTAGCCATAACTGGGATGCACTGGTTGGATCACAAGTTAAACTAGTTGAGAGTAAAGCACTGAGACTCTGGGGTTTATGTATTAGACAAAAGAACATGGTTATGTTGATTATATGGGACAACTAATTTATTTATATAGTTAAATAGTGGTGCCTGAAATTACAGTCGTGCTAGCATGTGAGTGCCAAGCAAAGGATAAAGAGCCGTCATGGAAAGGCTCTGAAGACATTGTGGCCATCTATGGCCCTAAATTTGCAAATTTGAGATCCCTTCTATAGCAGTTTGATAGGATCCAACACAGTTTTCCATGTGCAAGCAATTGAAAACAATTGGTTGATGGAATTTCTTAAATTAAAAGCTCCAGAAGGACAAACACATTTTGGTGCTTGTAAATGAAATAATACAAATAATATGCATAAATCTCAAAATGCAAAATGCATTCTTGCCTTTAAATGCTTGTGAATCTCAGTCCAAGTAGTAAAGGGTTGATCTCTTTCTATTTTTAAAATGTTAAGATACACACTAATATCAGAAAGAAGGGGGAAAGCGCTCATTTAGAAAAATAGGAGTGTGGTTATATAGAAAACAGAAAACAGTGTAAAAAATCAATGAAGTAAAATTTAAATGGAGAGCATAATAAGTATATTCTTGCAAATTAAGTAAGTTTGAGGGTACTGAAATATTTTTTGACACAGTTGGAAATTATGAGTCTTAACATCACTAGTACACTAGTTACTTAAAAAAAATTCTAATATATTTTCTGTATCATGTCTATCTAGCTACCTTGACCTGAACCCTACTTTAAAAGCTAATTCGTCAGCTCACTAGCATCCCCCGGCTGAATAAAGGGTAAATAAATTACACTCGGAGATGGTCAGCATTTAAGCAACATCATTATAGCAGATTAAAAGAAAAACAGCGTATTATCGCGATAATTACTATTTTTGACTGCGACTAGACAAGCTGACCCAAAATATAATCCATCGTCTTGGAAACGCTCTAATACGGAAGCTCGCGAGGCCCACAGGAGCCGAAACGCGAAGGTTGTCAGGAGCAGCAGGAGGAGGCCACGGCTGGACAGTGTCTGACGTGGAAAGTGTCAGCACTGAGTAAGAAACTTCGGGCCAAAACAAGCCTCGAGAACAAAATCCCCCCAGTTCTCTGTAAGCTCCCGCGGGTTTCACAGAGGACAGCACAATGAGTCTGGATAAGGCGAAGCTGTGTGATTCACTGTTAACCTGGGTAAGTTTGACAGTAGCAACATTTCGAGCAAGGCTAACCGCCGGCTAAGAGGTGTCAGCAGGTGTTAGCAAATGTGGAGAATTACGGCTTTACTTTTGGAAGTTGTGGGCTCACGTAATCGATAAGGGGCATCTTTACTGACTTGGTCAATTAAACGCTTGGTGTTTTAAGTTGTAAGCTAACTGTCACTAGCCAGCCGAGCTAATTGGCTTTGTGAACACATTGGAGGTTTGCTCCTGGTGGTCTGCTTTATCTCTTATCCATGTTAGCAAACTGACTGCATTGTCAGCAAATTAACTGCCAGAAAAACAAACCCAAATAGCTTAGTGTAAGCTGAGAGGCCTAAGGAGTAATGTTAGGCTATCCAACACAGCCACGTTATTTTCAAAGCTCAGAGCAAATCCACCTGTTTGGCTCCTTTCTACAAAGAGGTGTGAAGACTTGGACTGAACTAAGACACCAACTAATAATAGCATACTAAGCAGGGCTGTAATCCCCCATTGCTGCTTAGTATTTTTTTTTTTTTTAATTTAAGTTATGTTTAGAAAGCTTGAGCAGCTTTACACAAAATCCCCAAATACATAAATCCCCCTTCTTTCTTTAAATTGGAAAGTTTTTAAAAATGATCTTGAGCAATTATTCTTTAGACTTTCTGAAGGTCTTTCAAAGTTTCTTTTAACATCGGCTACTTTTTTACTCATTGTCCAGTCCAGTCCTCGTATCTGACCATTCTCAAAGAAATGTTTTTGTGTTTTTAAGCCACTCAACACTGACCTATGAATTATTCAAGCATAAAAAGACACCCAACTCAACGGATGAGCTAGTGTTGTCTACACAGACAAAATAGAGAACCAGTTTTAAATTGTATCTTTAGGCTTTACTAGCAGCAATATAACTTGTTCCTATTCCCAGTGATAACACAGGTTGACAGGCATAAAATGGTATTTATATAAAGAAGGTGATTCACTAAGAGCTGTTGGCTGAAAACTTCACATCTCAGCATGGTGTGCAGTGTGTCCTTAAAAATGTAAGGAAACTGAACAGGTCGCGGACAAAAGATGTATCAAGGATCAAAGAAGACTATATACAGCAGAGGAGCAGAATATAAAATCGTGGCCTTAAACAATAGAAAAAATTAGATGCATCAAGTTGACCCATCTACTGATTACTGATCAGAAATAGTCTCAGTGGAAATGTGGAGATCAAGAAGCCATTCTTAAGGGAAGAAGGCAAGGACAGAAGGCTGAGCTATGCCAAAGTGGAACTGAACTTAAAATGGGTGGTAACAGATCTGGTGGAGTGAGTTAGAAAGCAGTAAAAATTCATTCTTTTTACTGCTTTTTTTTTTTTAAATACTGTAAAAATTCAGCCTAAATCTGAACAAAATTTTGTTCAGATTTAGGCTGCTCTACAGAGGAGATCAGGAGAGAGTACAACAGTGAGACTCTACAGCCATCTGTAAAACACAAGGAAGGCTCTGTATGGTATGGTGTTGGCTTTCAGTCAATATTTTTGGGATCTTTTCAAAATTGATGGAACTATGAATGCAGAAAAGTGTAATACCATCTGGGAACCATCTAATTGGTAATCATTCTATTTATCAGTATGACAGTGATCTCAAACACCCTGGCAATGCAATGAAAGCATACCCAAATAGAAAAACACACAAGACAACACCATCAGTCATGGATTGGCTTCCCTAGAGTCCAGTCACCAAACATTAAAGCATTGTTCTGTTCAAGATGATTCCACAAATGGCAAATACCAAATATGTATTTTCAAGTTTGTTAGAATTGTATAAATCACGTTTTCCCCAATTTACATTTATGTTTGTCGACGTTTCAATAAATCACTGCACCCATTTTCCTAATGATTCAAGATTTTTGCACAGTGCTGTTTAGAATGGGGATATTAGATTCATTTATTTAATATAGTAATGTTTTCACCCTGGTTTAGTTTAATGTAATGTTGCTGTACATTAAATGTCAAAACATTGAAAGGTTTCTTTCTTTAATGACCAGCTCTTTAATGTCTTCACTCTCAGTTACAGACATTTCAGGTGCCATCGTGCAACAGCAAGCACGACCTGACAAGCGGAGTGGCCATTGCACATGTACTGCACAGAATGTAAGCACAAGCAGTATGTCACCAGTGTTGTTTCCACTAACTGCACGATTGTCTTCTGGAGATTCATTCAGAACTTACTCACTGAAATTTGCTTATCTGTATAATTTTGGATTGCCATTAAGTCCATTATCTATGCAAAATGTAGCCAGTTAAACAGTAAATGTTACCCAGACATGGCTCTGAATACCTCAGGCATCGGTGTGATTTTGTTTTTTTTTTTAAATAAATAAAGTGATGTGTGCAGGCTTAATCACATCAACCAATTATTGGAAAATACACATTTGGAAAACAGATTTTTAATCAACCTATTTTAGCTGTAGCTGCTTCCCATGCTGTGTAGCTTTTAATGAATAGTTTTACTCTGTCATTGTGCCTGAAGGGACAGAAACACAGGGTCTCACTGCCCTGTGGTCTTGTTATCAATCTCAGTATCCAGAGATGTCGTCGTTACAATTCTCTTGTGCTCTCATTAACAGAGACCCTTCTTGGTTTAATGAGACATGGCTAGGCAGGATCAAGGAGGAGAGCGGGGCCAACTGGCGCCTCAAGGTAATTTGTGAAACAGCATGATATGACAGAACACCCTGTAGTTATCTAGAATGACTAAAATCAAAGATCTTTTTTTAAATTCTTCTGCTTGATTAATGAAAGTGTTACGATTGTAACCCCGTTTCATTCTTTCAGGTCAGCAATTTGAAAAAGATTCTGAAAAGCATGATGGAATATTATCACGATGTAAGAAACTTTTGCTGATTTGGCCTTCATTTTTCATGTGCTGCTTGACTCGAGCCTACCAGCTCACTTTTCTGTTTCGTGAACAGGTGCTCGGTCACCAGGTGTCTGATGAGCATATGCCAGACGTGAACCTGATAGGAGAGATGGGAGATGTCACAGAACTGGGAAAGCTGGTACAGCTCGTGTTGGGTTGTGCAGTCAGCTGCGAGAAGAAACAAGGTAGGCCTGTACACAAGTACATTTCTTCTGCTTTCATTTAGGAATAAATGCCTCATAATCACTGCTGAGAAGATATTTGTCAGCATGAAAACACAAAAACGCAATTCAGTGATCTCAAGTCATTTAGAAATGCTCACACGGACGGCAACTTTATTTAGACAACAGCTGTATTTAGCAGCTGGCCACTCACTTTATACCCAACTGCTTGCAAAGCATAATATGACATGACATACTATCATGGTGGCCAGATGGCCTTGTTTTCCTCCTCCATCCTTGAATAGACACTTTCTGGATTTTTTTTTCATAAATTTTTGCAAATGTTTAAAAAAAAAAAATGGACTGACCTCTTGCCAACATAAACATTCATTAGGGGATTAGGAGCAACATTGGAGACGTGGCTGCTGGTTAACTGCTATATATGGCAACTGTGTTGAAGCACAAGATTAAAAGGTGCTAGAATCAGCATTCTTGTTATTATAGTAAATACATTTTATTCTGCTGAGTTGTAGAAGTAAAGAAGATGTCTCACACTTGTGGGTTTGCTTTTCAATAGCTGGGAAAGGCAGTGACTAAACTGCTATGAGATCTAGAAGAAGGGAGAGGGAAACAAATTTTTCAAATGTGGAAATTAATTGCTGCACAACTATGCCAGTAATTGGCACAGAGTGTGCAAGTGTGAGCACCTCCTGAAAGTTTTCTGGTCTGCAGCATTTGGATGTGTGTTAACACAATACCACAGTCTTTCCAGTGTGAACATCCTATCATATTCACCCCAAGGACAGACCGTTCAGCACTCAGAGAAATGGCAAATAACCGAAGATCTACATCTCAGACACTACAGAACTCAGTCAACATGTTAAATGTTGATGTTCAAGACAGCGCAATTAGAAAAAGACTAAAGGAGTATGGCTTGTTTGCAAGGGTTGCAGCAGAGAGCCTCCTTCATCTAAAAGGAACATGGCAACACAGCTCAGGTTTCCAAAGCTGCATCTGAAAAAGCCTTAACGATGTCCTTTGGACAGATGAGACCAAAGTGGAAATGTTTGGCTATAATGCACAACACCACATGTGGCGAATAGCAACAACCGCCTCACACCAGCTGATAGCACGGTGGTGGAGGGGTAAATGTTTGGACGTGTTTTACAGCCACAAGACGTGGTTAACTCAGTCATTGAGCTGACCATGAACTCCTCTGTATACCAAAATATTCTAGAGTCAAATGTGAAGCTTTTGACAGCTAAAGCTTAGCTGAAATTAGGTCATGCAACAGGACTCTGGTCCCAGACAATCTACAACAGAATGACTGAAAAGGCAACAACAACAAAAAAAATCAAGGTGCTGCAATGATCCAAAGTCCAGAGTTCAACCTGATTGAAATTCTGTGGCAGGACCTTAAGAGCTGTGCATAAATGAAATGCTCAATGAAATGAAATGAAGCAACACTGTAAAGAAGAGTAGGACAAAATTCATCCACAGTGATGAGAGAGTGATAAAGTCATACCAGAACTAATTGCTTCAAATTATTGATGTTAAAGGCTATTCAAGCTACTGCAGGATGGAGTGTATTAAGTGTTTGGCATAGACTGCTGCATAGAGTACTAACATAAGAAGACTCATTTAATCATACATGCATATACTGCAGGGGTGGGGGAACTCCAGGCCTCAAGGGCAAATTCTAGATCTGTCCTTGATCCAAAACAGCTTGTTTAAATGGCTAAATAACCTCCTCATCGTGTCTTAAAGTTCTCCAGAGGCCTGGTAATGAACTACTCATTTGACTCAGGGTGAGATCTAAAACCTGCTAGACCCTCGAGGCCTGGAGTTCCCAACCCCTGGTATACTAGATTGTTGGCTTAAGGTGGTTCATTAGTTATAAAGCTTTCCTTTGAAAATGAATATTTTTTTGTTCCTCATTTCACAAATGGCAGAAAGATCGACCCATCCAGATGTGCACTCTTTTTACTTCCTTCCTGTGAAATAAGCAGTGTTGGACATTTTGCATCTTGCATACAGAAATACACATTTATTAAATTGGTGATAATGATGGAGACATGTTGGCATTCTCAAAAAAAAATAAGGTGTATGCGGTGCTCTTTCTTCTTTGGAGAGGTAAATGTTGGTGGCTTGAAACAGAAAAAGTTGGAACAGTTGTTTTTCTCTCAGTTATGGTCTGATCAATTTGTTGACAAGCTGTTTTCCCGTTACTGATAACAGCTCATGAGACAAAAAATGGTCAGGTCAGTTTCACAGAAAATTGACTGTAAAGCTGAGTCGATTTTTACAGCAGTGGTTTGACTTTCATGGGAGCGTGTGTGTGTGTGTGTGTGTGTGTGTGTGTGTGTGTGTGTGTGTGTGTGTGTGTGTGTGTGTGTGTGTGTGTGTGCGTGTGTGTGTGTGTGTTAATCTGTATTTGGCTGAGACTTCACTGGCCTTTGTTGTCTTCTAAACGCAGAGCAAATCCAGCAGATAATGACACTCGAGGAATCTGTCCAGCATGTTGTGATGACTGCCATTCAGGAAGTGAGTGAGCCTCTTTTTCTTTCCTCTTGGTTTACCCTGATTTGCATTAATCCAATTCTTAGTCACGGTTAATTCAAAATCAAAGAAGTCTGGATAAACATAAGACTAAAGAGCATCCCACAGACCCCTACTCTATGCTATTTACAAAGATGCGTTTACTGTTATCACCACCAAAGGGACTGTAAAAACCTGGATCATCTTCCAAGGTTTTTACCAAACAAGGTTATTCAGAGAACCAGATAAATCTGCCTTTGGCAAAAGACTGTTATTTTATTTTCCCTGTGGTTGCATTCATTGACTCACTTTCCTGTTTTGTTTTAGCTCTTATCGAAGGAGCCGTCATCTGAACCGGGAAGCCCAGAGACCTACGGGGATTTTGACTATCAGGTAAAAACCCACAACATATTCATTCCCCTACTTGTTTTTTACTTAGATTTGCTACATCCTGTGTTTGTGTTTACTCCCCACTGCTTTGATCAGTGTCAAATATCCTCTGTCTGCACGTCTTTTATTCGCAGTCCAGAAAGTATTATTTTCTGAGTGAGGAGGCAGACGAGAAGGAGGACCTGAGCCAGCGCTGTCGACACCTTGAACATCAGGTTGGTTTACTAAACACGGTTTTGATCATACTTGGCAAACATTTGCTGAGACTTTAAAGATATAATCCTAAGATTTCACTTCAGGTCAATTTGGCAATCAAGTCGGTGGAAACTGAAGAGACACTCTTTGAGCACACATTGGTTCAACAAATGGTTTTGTTGCACAAGCATCATCTGATTAAGGCCAGTGCTTTTCACACAAGACACAGTAGAGTTACAGCAGTATGTCAGCAGTGCTGGCAAGTTTCTGTGCAACCCTGCTAAAAGTGCTTTAAATCTATCATTTTGGTCCTTCACGTCTTTTTCCTGTGAGTACTTGAGTATAAATTCCACTTTTGTTTAGTTTGAACTCGTTTAACAGGAGATGGAGCAATAAGCATGATTGAGTACAGAAGTACGCTATAAAAACACTGAGACAAAAACCATACAACACTAATGTTGCAGTCCACCTATACATGGCCTACATTTATTGGTTAAATTTGATGGGTGTACCAAGTTTGGATGGTTCCCACCTTGGCCGGAGGGGTGTACTATAAAGCAAGATTATTGGATTATTCAGGTTAAAATCAGCGTTTTCAATGTCTGGAAAGTGGCTCCCTTTTCCCTGGCTACAATACTCTGGTAACTTATGTTAAACATACAACCTGGTCCAGAGCACATTATGTTCCTAGTTGAAAGCGCCACATTTTTACTTATTCCAGCATGCTTTAAGTGGGATAGAAAATGGTATGTTACAGGTTGACAAATTGCATCTATAAACCCTAACACAGTGGTGTCCAAACCTTTACTGTTTAAATGTATAAGGTTTACAGTTTCAGAGTTGTGTGCAGCTCTCACGTTAGAAATAAACAGCGGAACGCAGCTGTAGAATGAATTCAGTAAATATGAATTTACTTCAAGATGATATATTTACTACGTTGCATGCTTGTGATGATATCGAGTTTGTAATATTAACATTAATGTGTTTAATTGTAGTAGTAGAAGTAGTATAACATTTCATGTCAGACAAGAGAAAGTCTGACTTAACAAAGAAAGTTGATCGTCGCTTTCTGGGGTTTTAGGTTTAGGCTTTAACAGAAAGCCGGGCTTTTTTGACTTGCCTCATAGGACACCCCTCAGTTCTCACTTGTAAAGAAGATTTTGAGCTCAGTGTGTAAGAATATAAAGAGTGGATAGCAGAATAGCTGTTGCTGGGGAGAAATGGTTTGATTGCATGGAAATCTTGAGGATTATAACTTTAAGATGAGTCTCGGGTTTGTTTTATCAATCTTTGAGCTGTTGACTTGAAATTTGAAAAAATAATGCCATTTCATCTCTGCCTACCAGATTTACAGACTCTCAGAGGTTTAGTTTTGCTGTATTTTTTTATTTATTTATTTTTTTAGAGAAGCATGTTGCGTGTGTCTGTGCCTGCAATTTATTTGTGCTCTGGCCTTTTATTGATTAGCCAGCCAAAGGCTTTGTTTGTGTTCCCTTGACTTGTTTTTGCACCACTGAATGTGAGCGGACTAATTCAGACTTTTTTCTTTTTTTTGAAAAAGAGGATCCCAGTCGATAGTTGCATAACATCAAGATAAAACTGACACGTTGCCTTTGGATGGAGCAGTAGCCAACTATAATTTGTACTGCTCCCAGCCCACCTGTTTGTTTACTTACTCGGCCCACGCATTAGGGATTAGTCATTTGTGTTGTTTTGAAAGCTATTTACTGTTACTGGTTTGGTGCTAAAGCATGCAATCTGTCCTTAAAGTTCAGTGTAGGGTTTTGCTGTATTCAGACTGGAAAGATATCCTGCAGGTAAGTATGCGCTCCCCTCTCTTAATATTGGAATGCAAGCTTGTTTAACTATGAGCGCCGTTCAGTCTGACACAAACATTTAAAAGTAATGCAGCTCTAAACCACAGCCGGCCCTTTCCTCAAACCAACCACCGTCATCGATGTAGATCTGTTCTCCTGCCGACTATTAATGTTACACATGTATTACTTACGGTCCTCAATGAGCTCTGCATACTCGTCTGCTCATATCATGAGGATCTGCTTTGAACCCTGGGGGTAAAGCTAACAACTGCACTACTGAGAATGTTCCATCTGCTTGAGATCATTGCACACCAGCTGACTAACACACATTTTACAAAAGAGCTTGTGATATTACAGCAAAGCATGTGTTTAAGGTCCTCTTTGCACTGAAAGTGGTGAGTTATCGCTGTTTATCTTGTTTTCCTTCATGAATCTGTTGTGTCCTTGCACTGTGGCTTTTTTGTATATAGGCTGGTTTTTTTTGCTGCTTTTTGTTATGCTTCAATCTCGACCTTTCCTCTATTGTGTCTCCTTGTCCTGTTTTTCACCCCTTTTTAAAGCTGTAGCTCACCTTCCGTCTCTTCTCTCTCAGCAGTCCACTGCACACTCAATCTTTACACCTCTTTTTGCAATGTTTGTGCTCCGTTTCTCTCTCCCACCCCCCTCCGACAGCTGTCAGTGGCTCTGGAGGAGAAGATGTCCCTGCAGGCAGAGACGCGCTCCCTGAAAGAGAAGCTCAGCCTATGCGAATCTCTGGACGCCTCCACCACTGCCATCACTGGCAAGAAGCTGCTGCTGCTGCAGAGTCAGATGGAGCAGCTTCAGGAGGAAAACTACAGGTACAAGTGGTACTTAAGTACTTAGGAAAACAACCCGGGGTTTATAATGAGTGTCTCAGTCATTAACTCTTTAAAAAGATGTAGTAGTAGTAGTAGTAGTGGTAGTATAAAATTTCAGCCCTCGTTCATAACATATGAGTCAACTTTATAAAGACATGCAAATCAGATGCCGTTGAGTCAGCTGTTCCTTTGAGTGTCTTTCAAAGTGCATATCCAGTCATATTAACCACTGTATATCTCAGACTGGAGAACGGCAGAGACGACATGCGTGTGCGGGCAGAGATACTGGAGCGCGAGGTGGCTGAGCTGCAGCTACGGAACGAAGACCTGACCAGCCTGGCGCAGGAGGCCCAGGCCCTCAAAGACGAGATGGACATCCTCAGGTGAGAGCAGCTCGAACAGATCGAGTTCAGTTGATCATGAAAATGTAAACAAGCCAGTTAAACAGTGGTTATTATGTAAGGAGTGGTGTAGGCCTTTTTGCAAGCTCACAAGTTTGTAGTGAAAGAAACTGCAGAAAGTTGCGCTTTGTGGGCGTTTGGTCACATGGACACTAAGTGTTTGTGTTCATGCTTTGCAGGCTTTTTTGAATGCATTACATTCACAGTTTACAAGTGTTTTACATATAAAGGTTTTCCTTGTGTCAAAACGGGTAATTGTAAACATTTGCTAACAACTTCTGCTGAGCTACTACTTCAGGAACTGTGAATAAAACAACTGCCAACAATCAGAAGGTCCTGCTAGTAAATATTGTATGTGAATTACAGGGTGCAATGCTTCTTTTATTATACAAAGATTGTTTTAAATATATTTGCTTCTGTCCAACAAATTCAGTGTTTCCTTCTGTTTGAGTAGTAGTTGCAAAAAACAGTGGATGAGTTGAAGTTTCTTGGCATATTTGAAGATTGATCTCTGTAGAAGAGGCAAAAACTTTAAACAGTTTTGATCCTGAGTCCAAAAGTATCAATACACATACTAATACAGTGTTGGTAAATTCTTAATATCAAGAATGTTGATAATGACGAGCCTTTTCCTTTAAGTAGTAGTTCAAACTGATAATAGATGAACTCACAGAAGCAACCCCCATGCTGCCCACACACAGATGTCCATTCTGCTCTCTCTGACATCTGTGTTGATAATACAAATTTTCATGCATTGACACCGGCTTGCGTCAGAGTACACATCTACATGGACGCATTGTGTTAAGTATAACTCATATTCCTCTGCTGTTGCTCGATGCCTCCCACGCTATGCTTTCCTTCCCCCTCAGGCACTCGTCTGACCGGGTGAACCAGCTCGAGGCGATGGTGGAGACGTACAAGAGGAAGCTGGAGGACCTGGGAGACCTGCGCAGACAAGTGCGCCTCCTGGAAGAGCACAACACTGTGTACATGCAGCGCACGTGCGAGCTGGAGGAGGAGCTTCGCAGGGCCAACGCTGTCCGCAGTCAGCTGGACACCTACAAGAGACAGGCAAGCTGTGCTTTTGCCTGTTCCTGTGCTGGGACATCCAAGAGATGCGAAACACATTCTGGCTCGTACACGTGTTTGGAAACCCTTTTTATTTATTTATTTATTTATTTAAAATAGAGCACTCTGGCTGACTGTATGCTCTCTGACTTGTAGGCTCATGAGCTTCACACCAAGCACTCAGCAGAGGCCATGAAAGCTGAGAAGTGGCAGTTTGAGTACAAGAACCTTCACGACAAGTACGACGCACTGCTGAAGGAGAAGGAAGTGAGTCGGAGAGTATTTTTGAGAAATTAAAAATAAACAGTTTTTATATGGGGGGAAATGTGCACATGGTCTACAGAGTGTTTTTGTACACTGAGGCCCTCTCATTTCCCTCTCGGTCTAGTAATAGTTTTGATTTCAGTGATGACAAATGATGTTTAGATTGGCGTTTGTTGTGATCATTACAGAAAGCACTTCCCTACATGGAGAATTGTGTCCTGGTAGATACTGTACTATTCTTCAGCGGACTCCCACATCCTGTGTCAATTCTAGTAGCTTCTGCAGTCAAGGAGTGATTAATTTTCTCGCTTACTTGTGGGTGTAATTAGGAAATGTGCTAATATGACGTGGATACTTGTATTTGCTCTGTCTCTGTCTGGACTGCATCGCATCCAAGTCCAGATATAGAAAACCTGACGCTACATGGATCTTAAGGCCACTTAAGGTGTTTTGGTGTCCTTTGTTTTCCAGCGTCTGATCGCAGAAAGAGACACACTGCGGGAGACAAACGATGAGCTCAGGTGTGCACAAGTCCAGCAGAGGTATCTCAGTGGAGCAGGTGAGTTGAAGGCATAGGTATGGCTAGAAAACACCTAAAACAATGGGCTTTACTGAGAAATATGTCACGCACTGTTGGAGGAAAAAAATTAATAAAACATAAGGAAACTTGGAAGTTGGACCCTCTTCTTCCTTTAGAACAGCCTTAAATCTCTGTGGCACAGATTCAGGAAAGTGTTGGAAACATTTCTCAGAGATTTGACATGATAGCATCACACAGCTACTGCAGATTTGTCAGCTGCACATCCATGATAATCTCCCGTTCCACCAAATCCTAAAGGTGCTCTAGATCTGGTGACTGGACACTACTTGAGTACAGTAAACTCTGTGTTTAACTCATTCACTGCCAGCCATTGGCAGTGAATGAGTTAAACCCATTGACTCATTCACTGCCATTGACGGCTATAGACGTCAATGGCAGTGAATGAGTTAAGAATGGTGTGTCATCCTGCTGTAAGCAACCATCAGAAGATGGTCACACTGTGGTCATAAAGGGGTGGACATGGTCAGTGAGACACATGAAGAGACTACACAGATCACTCCTAATTAAACTAAAATCACTTTTCTTTCCCATTCAGATGTTCAGTCCACATCTACATACATAGATGCTTTTTGTTGCTGTCATGTGATTGGCTGATTAGATATTTTTGTAACTGAGCAATTAAACTGGTGTACCTAATAAAGTGGCCAGTGAGTGTAATGGTAATACTAAAGAGTGTAACTTTTTTGGGGGGGGGGATTGTAAACATTTACAGTGAAAAAATTTCTCAGGCTGAAATTGGCCTTTTTAGTAAACGTGGTCAAGTGTCCAACTGACAGTGTGTGCGAGTCCTCCATCCAAATGCAGTCAGATAACAGTGGTTCTGGTTCAGAGGTCGTCATCCTCTGCACCGCTTACTAGAAAGGAAGCAAAGAACCTTCTAAAGACTGATTCAGCTCCACAGCCATAATTCAGTTTAATTTCTCTATCACAACAGTCGCCTCAAAGTGCCTCGTATCATATTTTTCATTATTGAGCTCCTTATTTTATTCTGTTAATCGTTTTAAATGTAGTTCAGTTCTATTGAATTTGGGATCTTCAGTGTGATTTCTGTGCAACTATTTTGTTTTAAGGGGGGGTTTGTTTGTGCTGTTTCACTTTATCAAACTGATTTGGGGTTGGGGTATTTTGTTTGGTTGTTTGTTGTTGTTGTTTTTGGGGGGGGGACACAGGAATTACTCGACTTTTGCGATGATTTGTTTGTCTGACTGTCTTTCTCTCTGCAGGAGGCTTGTGTGACAGCGGTGACACGGTTGAAAACCTGGCTGCAGAGATCATGCCAACTGAGATCAAGTATGTCTGTTTGCACATTTCAATGTTTTCTTTTGTTTGGTGTTTTTTAACCATAATAAGAAGGCCGTTTTATTTTAAGTCTACACAAACATGCCTCGGTGTAACTTTCACTCACGCACTCACTCGTGCCATGTGTACATTCTTGCTAACACAACCACAAAAGTTTATTTTTAGAAAGTGGACGTTGCGTGCCAAATGGCGACACATGGCGCGTTTGGCCTGGGCGTTGGTGGATAGAAGTTTCGTTCATGCTTCCATTTGCAGCCGCCATTCTCTAACCCGTTTATTTTATCCCCGCCCCTCTTTTTCCCTTCACCTCCTGTCGCCCCGCTCTTATCATTGCTGCTTTGACAGGGAGACAGTTGTTCGTCTCCAAAGTGAAAACAAGATGCTGTGCGTCCAAGAGGAGACCTACCAACAGAAACTTGTGGAAGTTCAGGCTGAGCTGGAGGAGGCTCAACGCAGCAAGAATGGGCTAGAAACTCAGAACAGGTAGGGGTGTGTGTGTGTCCGCACACTCTTCTTTCAGCAGTGTTAAATAACCAGTCTGCTTCTAGGCCACCATACTGTGCGTTCCTGGACATTAAGCTGGTTGTTTGGCTGATAGGAGGAGTGATATCTGCCTAAATGTCAACTCACCCTCTGGACTGTGTGTTCAACTGAACTGTGTGGGCTGGACTGGAGGACAGACAAGCAAAAAGCCAGATTGTCCCTCGACTCTGTGTGTGTGTGTGTGTGTGTGTGTGTGTGTGTGTGTGTGTGTTTACATGCCTGTGGGCATGTGGACATGTGGGTGGACTGTGTGTGTGTACGTTTGTGTGTGTGTGTGTGTGTCCATTGCAACACCAGGCCCAGGGTGTGGGAAGCATCCTCAGCAACAGTACCAGGAGGAGAGGAGTGGAGTGAGCATGCTCAGTAGAGCAGAGCAGTGAATGGCCAGGCGGCACAGTCGGTGCCTGCAGCAGATGTACAAGGACCCACTTGATACTTTGCAAACATCTTCCACCCACAGTAGCAGCAGCTTAATAAGTTTGTGTTGCATCTTTCACGTCTTTTACCATCTGCCTCTCTATAAACCCTTTTCCTTCTCTATTCATGCCCCCTCCCCCACACACCTCCCTCCTTTTGTTTTTTGTTTTTTTCCTCCTTCTCTTCCCAACCTTTCCTCTCATTCTTACCCCATGTTTCCTTTATTTTCCTCTTTCCAAGGCTGAACCAGCAGCAGATCTCAGAGCTGCGTTCTCAGGTCGAGGAGCTCCAGAAAGCACTCCAGGAGCAGGACAGCAAGAACGAGGACGTGAGTAGAAAGACCGGTTTGCTTCTCATCTGCCCACTTCTGCTATTACATAACTCAACACAATCAAGCTGACAGAATATTGGCAGCATATACACAGTGTGCAACTGACTTTTTTTTTCTCATCAGTTTTACCTTGAAGAAGTGAAATATAAGATGCAAGATTAAATTCTAACCAACAAAGTCATTTATTATGTATATGCTCAAGTCATTGAAGGGTTTTAGCTGGCATGGTATTTATATGGCACACTGAGTATATTGAAACGATTAGTTCTGAAATCACTCTGCCTTTGAGGACCGCATTGTTTGTTCTCCTACTTTGATACATGTTGTGTGGGAATTTAACCCGTGTTTGCTGTGGTGATTCACCGGTAACGCCTGCCCCTCTGTGTCTGTCTCTCTCCGCCTGCCCCCACCGATCAACTCTGCCAAAATCAGGCCATCGTAAGTACGGCCCGCCCTCTCTCCAACTGGCCTATGATTTGACTTTGACACCTTGACTTTCACAGTTTAGTGTGTGTGTGTGTGTGTGTGTGTGTGTGTGTGTGTTTGTTTTTAAATGTGCCGTTTTAAGTACAATGGATTTTAAGTTTCTTTCTTTCTTTTCTTCTTCTTTGAAGTCGTCCTTATTGAAGAAAAAGCTTGAGGAGCACCTGTGAGTATTATTTTTCTGCTGCTTACTGATGCCTGTCTGCCTTCTGTGCTGCAAACAAAAGTGAACTCACACAAGTGTCGATGTGTGTACTGTTCCAGGGAGAAGCTCCAGGAGGCCCAGTCAGACCTGCAAAAGAAAAAAGAGGTCATTGATGACCTGGAGCCCAAAGTAGACAGCAACAGTAAGGAATGTCATGTAGATGGTATTCAGAAGAAGTTCAGCTTTGTTCCTTTCCTAAACACAAATTTGTTTTTCCTTCTAGTGGCTAAGAAGATTGATGAACTCCAGGAGATCCTGCGGAAGAAGGACGAGGACATGAAGCAGATGGAGCAGCGATACAAACGCTACGTGGAGAAGGCGAGAACGGTCAGTGGTTATAGGAGTACTGCACTTTTTATTTCACACATTTTTAAAGACTTCGACCTTTTTAAATATCAGAAAAAATGATGTTCTAAGCTCTTTAAATTAATATCCTTTTGTGTGCAGGTGATCAAAACCCTGGATCCTAAGCAGCAGCCAGTGGCTCCTGATAGTCAGGCCATGAAAAACCAGCTGATGGAGAAGGAGAGAAGAATCCAGCATCTGGAGGTATGAACCTCTGACTCTGAGAGACAAGTGTGCTTCCATCAGCACTGTAAATCCCACTAATGCATGATGATGGTGTTCCTTTTATACAGCATGATTATGAGAAGAGCAGGGCCAGGCATGACCAGGAGGTGAAACTCATCATCAGTGCCTGGTACAACATGGTGAGCGAGCGTGTAAATACACAAAAGCTCAAACAGGAACTACATCCACACCACCCAATCCCTCACTCCTTCATCTTTCTCTTTCCTCCGCCCTCTTTACCTGTCAGGGAATGGGGCTGCATCAGAAAGTGTCTGGTGAGCGGTTGGGCTCCTCCAACCAGGCCATGTCCTTCCTCGCCCAGCAGAGACAACTCACCAACGCAAGGAGAGGCCTGACACGACACCACCCGAGATGAGACACGGAGGCGTGACAGTTACCCTCAAATGAAAAGCAAAGTGCACACAAGGTGATCCATGTGATCTCTGAGTGTCTTTTGCCTTTTTTATGCCTTCACTGGGATCACTGTGCCTCAGTTTTGTCACGCTGCTGCTGCCCCCTGCTGGCTCTTACTGATATGAGAAGATTTCTTTTCTCCGTTGGGCTCCAGAGCAGAAGCTCTCTGCTCTGATTAAAAAGTAGGAGTTATAGGCCTTAAGAAGAGGCGACCTCACCTTTTAAGGTGACTTTTATTTCCCCTGTAGCTTCTTGGACTTTTTTTTTTTTCCTTGAACATCTATTTAAAATCCTTTTTTATTTATTTTTTTATGTTAAACAGTGAAACAGAACTGGAACAAGTTTTGTCAGGTGCCAGTTTAAATGTGATAGATGACAGAGAAGTTTGACGACTACAAGTGCTACAGAACAAAAGCTGCACAAGCTGTCCTCATACCTCCACTACAGCAGATTACAGACTACATTTTGGGTTTTATGTGTTTGCTGAGGTTTTTTTTTTTTTTTTTTTTTTTTTTTTTTTTTTTTTTTTTTTGTAGCGTTTTTATTTTCAGTCTAAGTTTGAAGTACCTTTGGGAAAAAATGTAAAAATCAAGCGGGTATGTAACAGCTTTAGTCTTGATTTCTTCTGTATTCTCTTTAAATGCTTTTTTTTTTTTTTTTTTTTTTTTCCCTTCTCAGCCTTAAATCTGAAACATGTCTTTTGTAAATATTTTCACAGTGTACACCAAAGCACTTTCTCTCTAGAAGGGTGGGTTTGTTCAGTGCCTCGCAAAAGTCTCCCATGCTAGCCCTTTATAGATGAGACTGAACACTGACATGTTTGCAGCGCCAACACTGTTTCTGTCACACTGCAGGTACGTGCTCAAGTCTGGTGATATGACTTTTGTGTATTTTTCTTTTCGCTGTTGCCTCTAAATATTATTTTTTTATTTTTTTTATTCCTATCCATAAGACCTCCCCCATCAGGGGGTCTGATTGTGGGTCGGACCCAACTGCACTCTCCACTTTAAACACAAAAACTGGATAACACTATGCGAGAGTCTCTAATCATAAAAAACACTAAAAAATATATAAAACTGAGTCAGCTGATGTGCTGTTTGCCGCTGCTAGGTGTTGTTCACGGCTGAGCTGAGCTGGAAGGAAACGTGTTCTTCAATGCGCTGGAATTTTTCCTGTGACAGGAAATCGACAGCAGATTAAAAAGCCTGAGGCACATTTATCAGACTCTACGTCTGCCTTTCTTTACAACCGTTGATCAAGTTGTTTTTGTGCGTCCCATGTCAGAGCTGCTGTCCTGTGACTTGTACTTGCCTCTAACAGTTTGTGCTATGATCTACAAAGACCAGAGTCCTGCTGTTGTGTAAACACTTTTTACTTTTTTGTTCTACTGATTTTTTTTTTTTTAAGTTGGTTTTTATGGCGTAAAATTATTGGTCCACATATGCATGGTGTGAAAGGTTGCATCATGAAATGGTCTACTAGATTATAGCATAATGTACTTGGCACAGGGTTAAATTATTTGTAGTCTTCTGTTCTACTTTTTGCACTACAAATAAATGGGATCTTAAGTTAAAGATGGCATTTTGTGTTCTTCTTTTCAGTGCATTCAAAGACTCACTTTCAGTCCCTTCCGATTTAGACTCACCCAGAGAGGTCTGAGAAAGCACGCCAACCCAGGTTTTATCAAAGTGGGCCCTTGTTGTGGGTAGACTTTCATTCCGTCACAGTCCTAAAGGCCAAACCGATTAGTCAAACTTCTCACATCCTTTGTGCAACTGTCAAAACGGTGAAGGCATTGTTTATCCGTCGCACCACTTTTCCACAAGCACATCTCAACGGATTAAAGAGAGGTGGCACATTCAAACATGATGAACAACAGCACAATGTAATAGAATGGCATGTTTGGGGGGGGCTGTAAGATTCACCTAAGATTTGTTAAGTCTGTACTATGTAACAACCATGAACCACTCCTGATTTCTTTATATTTTTCTGGGAAAATGGGAGATGCAGCAGATTAAACATTAAGGATTAAAAACAGTTTCTACAATTCAAACAAACTTGAAGTCAGTTTGTATGACCACCTTTATTCTTTAACACACCCTCAACTCTAAGGTAAGATGGCCACCCACTGAGACCCATTTTTCATGAGGCTTCAGTGAACTCAGATCCTGTGTTGGGTTTCCACTATTTTATGGTTATTTATTTATTGGTTAAAGCCTGCCACGTTGTCTTTTGTCCACCACATGTCCAGCTTCCACCCTCCATCCATTTTCTTCCACTTATCCTTATCAGGGTTGCGGCAGGGGAGTGCTGGAGCCTATCCCAGCTACCATAGGAAGAGTTCACCCTGCGCAGGCCCCCGTTTCCTTCTTGGAATCAACACAAAAACAAATAAGGTGTGGCTCAAGACTTTTGCACAGGACTGAAGTATGAAATAAGCTTGCATAATGTGAACTGATCAGCTTGACCTTTTAATACAAGTGTAAATTGAATGGATTAATGACAGTGCTCCTGACAATCCTAATCAATATCTAAAAACAATGAATACAGTGAGGTTTTATTTTAAGCGATATAGCACAGAGTATAGTTTACGTCACTGTCAGAGTGAAGGACAGAGTTCATGTTCGGCTGTGTAAACTGGGTGTATTAAATTGTACCGTGTCAACAGAAGCAGACCTGAGAGCCAGCAGTTTCCAGCCAACAACCGTCTGTTATGTAATTTTTAGTATCAATTTCACTTCCGGCACAGCAGGAGGCGCTACACAGCTGCCACGTGATGTCACCAGAGAAAATGAAACATGGCGGAGCAAAGGTGACGGTTTGTGAAAGTTGGCGATAACTGCGAGAACAAATTTTGACCCTTCTTGTCTTTGTCGCAGGTGTTTGAACCTTTAGGTGAGCCGCAGCGGTATGCTTATACCTTAATAGGTTCCGCACATGAACTGGGAGGCTGTAGTTGAGTTTGTTCGTCTGCAGTGGTCTTACCGAACCGGGCATTAGCTGTTAGCCGCGTTAGCAGCTAAACCAGCGCCTGCTTTTGTTTTTGTCGGGGCCCGGGGATTGTGTGCTAGAGGGAGGGCTGACATTTTTAAAGCCTTTTGGCTTTTTTTTTTTTTACACTTCGCCTTATTTTTCAAAGACCATATCCCCACACTGGACTGTGCAGCTGATCTATTTTTAAATAGACTTTAGGTTTTCGTATTGCACTGCGGTTGAGGCGTGCTGGCAGTGCTCTCCGCTAAGGCCAACCACACAACAAAGCCATACGTGTTACACAGCTAACACACAACAGACTGTGTCTGCTTGCCCAGGAACTATGGATCCAAAACGCGCACACGACAAACCTCAAACGAGCGGCGGCGGTGGCGGCAGCAGCGAGGACTCCAGCTGCGGGAGCCCCGCGTCCCCCTCGAGCAGCCCCGCACAGCCATCGAGCAAACCCCTGATGCCTGGGGGCAACGTGTTCGCTAACGACGGCAGCTTCATGGAGCTGTTCAAGAAGAAGATGGAAGATGAGAGGAGGAAAAAGGAGATGCAGCAAACAGGTGGAGATGCCAGAGCCACCGAGCAAGGACAGACACCAGTGGAAAAGAAGGCCCCACCCGTGACGAGCTTTGTAAGGGGTTTAGCAGTTGTAAGATGAGAGAGCAGTAGTTCCACTCACAGCCAAAGTGAAGCACTATGCACTGATACAGCAGGCTTACTGGCACCATAGTTAGTACTCTGATGGCTGACATGTCATTTTTATGAGTGTTTCATACATATGCCGGTGATTGTATTATCCCTGAGATATTTCAGTAAAATCACCCACAGTGATGGTGTAAAACAAACAATAGCTTAGTAAAGTGTAGGGATGATCCTCACTGATGGTTTCGCTGGTGGCGCGAGACAAGTGTAGACCTTCTGCTCTGGTGTAGTCTCCTTCATTGGCAGTCCACGTGCAAGAGCTCGTATAACGGTTTCAGTCTTCTATCCCCTAACCCAGGTGGGGAAGCGCCGAGGCGGTGTGTTCCTAAAGACCGGCATTGTTGCGAAGAAGCAGAAACAAGACACAGAAGTAAGTGGGATGGAAGGTGGCAATATTCATTGTGTTGTTCCCACAGGTGATAACCTCTGCCTCCTCCCCTGCAGGCTGAGCCAGGCAAGAGCGATGCTTGGTCTAAGTACATGGCTGAGGTGAAAAAGTACAAAGCCCACCAGTGTGGCGACGACGACAAAACCAGGCCTCTGGTCAAGTAGGCTCCAGGAGGTGGAAATGAAGTGCTTTGCTGGTGGGGGGCAACTACCTGGGACAACCTCAACGAGGGCCTGCCAATCCTCGCCTCCTGTACTATCAGTTCGAGTTGCCCTTCATTTTTACATCATTCACAAACTGCTTAGATTTACCCACCCCCTTTTTTTGTTTTTTTTTAATTGTTTTTGTCTTGCTTGTTACTTGTTGGACTCTGTTCATTTGAGTTGATGTCAAAAAATATTTCAGACACTTGAACATTTATTATTGAGGACCTTTTACATTTTTCATGTCTGGTTTATTTGGGGTTTCATTAAGGACTAAGTTGATTTAATAGCTAAATCAAGGGTTCAATTAAATCTACACTGCCTATAATTGTGTCATGTTGTGTTTCGACATTCTCATAAATACCACTGTAAAGGCATCTGAGGAGCAGAGACTGTATGTAAAAGATGGCTGTTGTTTGCAGGTCTGAAAAGAGAAGGCAATGTTGAAATGTTTTAAGCCTGCATTCTTTCTTGACTCTGCTTACAAAATCAGGTCTGATTGTATTTGCTTGTTAAGGATCCAGGGACACAGTTTCTGGGCTCTTGCCTTTTTACCATGTTGTAGTATTTTGCCATATTATTAGCCATAATCATGTAGCAAGTGTTTAAACAGAGTTTGATAAAAGTCCTGTGTTCCAGACACTCCTGTGCTGAGTAAGACTGCAGAACACAAGGCTTAAGATCAGGCCTTTTTTTAAAATTTTATTCTTTTATTAGATAATCCAAATTGTGTAGCAATATACGAATGGCTAGCCTTGTAATTTCAATTGGGTGGGGTTATCTCAGGCATTGTTTTGACTGAAGTTTGTTTTTGGTATCATCTTTTTGCTAAATGACCTTTGTCTTTGCCACAATATGTACTTTCATCCAACATGTTCTCTCTACTAATTGTATCTCAATTGGACCAATTTCCCTAACCCTTCCAGACATCACTATTTACTTTTTTCTTTATGCCCAAAATTACAGATGTTTTATTTTATTTTTAAGATAACTCCAGTCACTGCACAGTATATAATTTGTTTCCTAGCCATCTCACATTCAAACCTAATCTGTGGATGTCTGGACATTAAACCTGGGAGAGACGCCACATTAATCATTCTATTGGAGGCAATAAAAATAGCTAATGATGCTAACAGAGAGTTAGATCTGGGAAAACGAAATCAATTCTAATGATGTCTGCAAACACTTCGAATAGTGTATGGGCTCACTCT